CCAAATTGGCAGAGCCAAAACAGCAGGCACAAAGCTGGATCCATCCTAAAATGAGTGGCTCCTATGGGAAATGCAGGCACCCGCAGTGCAGCAGGTCCTTAACGCAGCGTCTGCACTGGTGTGTGGGAATAACATGAGGATCCATGGCAGCTCTTGCTTCCCTCCCCTCTCCATTCTGTATTTCACAGAATCACAGATCCAAAGTTCTGCTTTGTTGCCCTTTATCCTGTTGCTGGGCAGTGCTGAAAAGAGCCTGGCCCCATCCACCTGGCTCCTGCTCTTTGTATACATATAAGTATTGACATGATCCATTTCGCAGTCTTCTCTTTCCCAGGCTGAACTGCACCAGTGCTCTCAGCCTTTCCTCATCAGGAGGTGCTCCAGGCCCTCAGGCATCTCTGCAGCCCTACAATAGACTCTCTGCAACAGTTCCCTGCCTGCCTTGAACTCAAAGCTCAAAACTGGGCCCAGTGCCCCAGACGTGGCCACACCAGAGCAGAGCAAAGGGGAGAAGAACATCCCTCACCTGCTGGCCACACTCTTTGTAGAGCACCCAGGATACCATTGGCCTTCTTGGCTATAAGGGCACATAGCTGGCTCATGGTCAACCATTGGTCAACCACTGGTCAACCAGGACCCCCAGGTCCTTTTCCACAGAGCTCCTTTCCAACAGCTCAGCCCCCAACCTGTACTGATGTGTTGTTATTCCTCCCCAGGTGTAGGACTCCACCCTTGCCGAAGCTCATCAGATTCCTCTCCACCAAAATCTCCCACCTGTCCATGCCTTGCTGAATGGCCACACACCCCTGCCAGCTTCATATCACCAACAAACTTGCTGAGGGTGAACTCTATCCCTTCATCCATGTCACTGATGTAGATACTCAGCAAGACTGAGCCTAGCCTAGTATGAACCCCTGGGGAGCACTGCAACCTGCAGGCCACCCAGACTCTGCTCTCTGGCTGCTCCAGCAGCCTGGTGCTGCACACAGGGCTGCTGGCACTGTGTGACACTGCTCAGTGCTCACTGCCAGTGCCCTTGCAGCCATCCTGCCTGCTGCTGATGCTTTCTGAATATTCACACCTGTCCCAAAGAGCCTCCCCACCGAGGGAATGGCATACAGATGGCTGTCTCCACCAGCAGATCTGCTGTCGCCAGCCCAGTGTTCCCAAAACAAATGGGTGACCTCTGCCTGCACATCAGTCCCAGCGTCGCCTCTCTGCTGCCTCCATTAATCACAGTGCAATCTCCTAGGTGGGAAGGCAAGGGCTAAACTTTTCAAAGAATAAATGAAAAGAGGAGTGGAGTAGAGAAAGTGACAAATACAGGTCGTGTTGTATAGATATTAGAGCTGTAGAAGTAAAGGGAGGAAGCTGTGAAAGTTTAGGAGGCCCTCTATCTCCTTCAGGATGAGAGAAAATACTTTCGTTCCTTTTTTATCAGGCTTGCACTCCATATGGGTACTACAGCAGGCGGTATGGGGCTCTGTGCTGCTCATTCTGTCTGAAGGAGTCAGAAGAATGGATGAAAGAAAGTCCCGACAGCCTTTCGATGAACCTAAAGGTCACTTCTAGCCCAATCCATTCTGAGAGTCTCTCATTCTATGAATCTGTTGCATTGCAATGCTTAGCTATGACTTTCAGGTAAAAGTGTTGGGCAACATCCTGCTGTTAAACACAGCATCCTCCCCATCACAGCCCCTCCCAACAGCCTTAAGGGCTTTAGAGCTTAGTACCAACACTGATATCTGACACATGGCTTTTATTTCTCCTTTCATCATAATGTGTACAACAGGCTGCAGATAAAACCATTGTGTTCCCCATCATCCTTCCCATTCCATTGCACTGCCTGTGTTGGAGGTGACCGAAGGGGTGGGGAGCTAATAGGGAGCAGAAGGGGAGCCCGAACTGAGCTCAGCTTGCTGAAGAGGGCAGCTGCTTTTCACTTGTGCTCTCCTTAGTGATTAAATGGGCCGGGATATAAAACCAGATGTGATGCACTCAACACAGCTGAAACCATTTGCAAAAAATAGTTGAGTGCTCAGCTTCCATTCCATTCACTGCTTTTTGTTTGGCCAAAAAAGAAAGCTCTCTGGAGGGCTGCAAGGTGTTTACCAAGGCACTGATGAATTCCGGCTGGAGTAACTTTACACAAGACAGATGGTCCTCCCTGGCCAACAGTTTACTATCTCTTTTTTCCTGCCTGTAAACTTCAGTTGCTCTGTTAGGAAGTAGAAGAGGCCAATGGCCTGTGAGGCAAAGTGAGCAATTTCAAGTCAATTATCCACGAAGGTTACGAGGCAGCTGCAGCTGCTCTGCAGAGATCCCTCAGCAATTTCTGCCACACACCTGTGCTTGGTCACTCAGGTGGCTTTGGTTGATGCAGTGAGGTGAAGCCATGATCCCAAGGCCTCTCCTGGAGCTCCCATGCAGGGGGCAGAAAGGTGTTCTCCAGTGTTGTGTCATTACCCTATGGAGGGTAATGGGACACAGCCCCAGCCTCAGCATTAACCTAGCAGTGCTCCTGCATGGTGCGCAGAGCTCCGCTGAAGGCACAGCACTCAGCTCTGCTGCTTGGGAGCAATCCTGGTGGGAGGATGGCTGGGTGCCTGACTGTGGGTGGTGTCCCATGTCCCCCACGGTCCCAGTGGTCCCAGTCCCATCTGAAGAGCAACCAGACTGATTGCTGGAGGGCTGCTGGAGAACAGTGCGCTCGCACAGCTTCACTTCTCAAATAACATCCCGTCTTCCCAAAGCAGGTCTTCTGAGCTCTGCCCGTGTTCAGCAGCCTACATCCTATCCCTAACCCTGACCCCAACCCGAGTGCTCCAGCCCAGGACTCGGAGTGTGGCTGGGGCAGTGTCAGAGCTCAGGCACAGCCATGGACAGCTGGAAAAACATCTTCTGCTGTTGCCTAAACACCACCTGCATCGAAGCAAAGGATCGTCACACTCATGCTCTTCAAAGGGAAAACAACAGCACTCATCACGAGTGTTTTCACTTGGGCTGGAGCCCCAAGCCACAACCAAGTCAAGTCTTCGGTTACGGATCCGTGTGGCGCCTTGTGACACATGGCCTCCTAGTGCCGTGTGCTCTTGGACAAACCCACCCCATCACATGCACGTACGTACCCACTGACAAGTGTTATCTGCTTATGCAAAGTTATCCTGTCACAGAAAAGAACAAAACAAAGAGCCCTCTAACAGGCACTCGCAGTTTTTCCACATGCTACTGCCAGGAACCAGCAAATGGGTTTTTTTGCTCATGAGCTGGAGATGTTATGGTGCTCCTGTTACTGAGCAATCCGTGGGGATGTTGATGTGAGCTCCAGGCTGAAACCTGGAGGACTCCCAGTTGGCTGTTTTGTTTTTCACTCTCTTGGAAGGGAGCTGGATATGCTCATTGCTGGTAACAAAAGGTATTGTTTGATTTATGATGCCCCCTGCCCCCTATTCCAATTTCCTCATGCTTTGCCCACAGAACACGCAGGACATGTGCCTCCATGTGGTTCCCGTGCTGAGGAAAAGGCAGAAGAAGTGGAGGGCAAAGTTAGAGGGCAGAGAGCAGCAGGCAGAGCTGGCCCTGAAGCAACAGCTATCACTTAATGGAACAGCACACTTCTGTCCTGAAACACCATGGTCTCAGATGGACTGAAAGTCATGCTTCATCACATGCTAGGATTACCTTCAGAATGCTTTGTGTCCAGAGAAGGTGGAGAGGGCACTGAGAATCACGGAACCATTACGGGTGGAAAAGACCTCTGAGGTCCCCAGACTTTATCCTCAAAGCACTGGTTGTCTGCACTGGGATGGCTTGGCTGAGCTGGCAGCAGCAGGCAGGCATGGGTGTCCCTGCAGGATCAGAAAAGCTGGAAGCTTTGAGAGTGAGTCAAAGATCCAGTTTGTTCCACTTCTACCCGCAGTGCTGTGTGCAATACCTACACACTCACCCCATATTTTATTCTGTTCCTTTTGACCGTGCTGGAGAACTTCTTTTTCAAGGATGCAGGGGTGAATCGTGGGGTAAACTTTCCCTGGAATTGCTCCCAGGGCTGTGCTCAGCTCTGTAAACAAGGCCTGGGCAGGCAGCTCATGTTTCTGGGAATCGCTGTGCGTGGGGCCACTGGAGCACAGGGCACTGCTTGGAGCCTGGGGATGCAGCCCAGGGTCCACAGCTGTGATTTCTGCCTTTGAGTACAGCCTCAGGGAGCAATGGGGTCTTGTAGGGGTGTGGTGGCAGAGCTCTGCTGCTCTGCCAACCCTGGGAGCCGAGCCCAGCCAAGGGGACTTATGTGTCCCCATCATGGTTTTAAACTGAGACAGGGCAGGTTTAGGTTGGATATTAGGAGGAAGGTTTTCACTCAGAGGGTGGTGAGGCACTGCAACAGGTTGCCCAAGGAGGCTGTGGATGCCCCATCCCTGCAGGCATTCAAGGCCAGGCTGGATGTGGCTCTGGGCAGCCTGGTCTGGTGGTTGGTGACCTGCACATAGCAGGGGGTTGGAACTGGATGAGCACTGTGGGCACCATGCAAGGTACAAATGCAAGGTGATGGGCTCCCCTGCAGCCAGCAGGAATGTGGCCACAGGCACCAGAAGCTTGTCTTTGCCCCAGACCCGTCCCTCTCCGTATCCCCATCCCTGATCCATTCCCCATCCCTGATCCATTCCCCACCCCTATCCCTGTCACCTTGTCCCCATTTCTGTCTCCACATCCCCATCCCTGTCACCATTCTTGATCTATTCCCCATCCCTATCCCTCTCCCTGTCCCATTTCTGTCTTCCTATCCCCATCCCTGTCCCCATCCTAGGATGGCTCCTGCTGGGGACACTGCACAGCCAGGAAGTGAGGAGTGCCCCAAGCTCTCCACTCAGAGCACAGCACTACTCAAATTTAGAAAAACTCCAATGCACATCGTTTAAAAAAAAAGAAACAGGAAGAACTATTTATACATTTGCTCAAGAAGAACATTTGCCACAGTGCAATTTGCTTTTTTTTTTTTCATATTTATTTTTAAATCTCCCCGCTCTCATCGTAGCTGGATTGATGATTTCTGTGTTTCTCCTTTTAGGAGGTTGACTAGGATAAGCTGCCAGCCGAATTTCTCTTTTATTTTATTCCAAGTTTTAATTTAAGACAGGAGAAGTGTGGCGAAGCTTCTTATTCTGTGTAATCATTTCTTGGCACAAAGCAGGGCACTAATGACCCTACTGGGTCGCATAGCTCCAAAGGGCAGGGCATGGGTTGGTGGCAGTGGTGGCAGTGGTGAGCCATGGCCTGGCCAGTGACAGCCACAACCCAACAGCTGACTGTAATTCTTCTGTGTGACACAGTCACAGCCTGGCCCACGCCCGGGTTCTGCGCTTGGACACGGAAATCTGTTGGCAGTGAAACAGGTTCTGATCACTGAATCGCTAAAGTAGGCTGGAAAAGACAACTGAGATCCCCAACCCAACGCCAACCCACACCACCCTACCCACAACCACATCCCTCAGTGCCCCGTGGTTCTGAACAGCTCCATGCACGGTGACCCCACTGCTCCCTGAGCAGCTGGGCCAATGTAACTCCAGACATTGAGACCACAAACGTACACCCATGAATTAAGTTCATTCCCATTCAACTCAATGGTGCATCCTGGGAAGGGTTTGCTGGTCCCAGTATTTGCAGTCCAATAACTGAGAGCTCCCTTCCCCTGTCAGGCCATGGAAATCTCCACTGTGTCCCTCAGGCTTGATTCCATGATTTTGAGGCATGAAGCGTCATAGAAGCTGTAAGTACTAACATATTCCTAAAGTACTGTTTTAGAGGTTTTAGTCAAATTGGAAAATATTAAATTTGATATCTACCCCATCTTGGCCTGCATGTTAATTTTTTCATCCACAGATTTCCAACTCACTTTTCCCCACTTCTCCTCTTTTGCTTTCATTTTTTTTTCGGCGCCATTTCCTTTACTTTGGAATCATTTGAGAGTAAGAAAACCAAAAATAAACAAAAACCCCAACAGCCCAGATCTGGAAATGATCCATTTTTAGAGCCATTTTGAAAGCTTACAGTGAAGGCAAGTAATTAAAAAAAAGAAAAAAGAAAAAAAGAAAGGAAAACAGTTTTTTAAAACTATGTTGGTTACAGATGGGGGCAAAGTGGGAGAAGGAGGCAAGAAACCAAAACACTTAAATATTTAATTTTATTTTTCTGCACTGTTAAATCTTTAAAATTGCCCCATCTCTGACCTGAAGGGAGAAGCAACTGTGATTTTTATTTGTAGGGACAGGAAAAAGGTAAGAGGCATTGAGGTTAAGGAGGAGGACGATCGTTTTGCAGATGGAGGAATGCAGGAAGCCCTGGGACACGGGATGCTCCCAGCAGTGCCACGGCCATGGATACCCGAGCTGCAGGATTGGACCTGGGCCGCTTTCCAGCCACATCTCCCAGCTTGGAGGCAATCAGGCTGAAGGAAAAGCTGTACTTTGCATGTGGACGGGGCAGCTACGTCTCTACCTGCACACGGATGGCAGCACTGGGTCTTCAGGCAGCATCACAGCCACCCCACAGCCTCCCGTTTCCCAGCAGCTGCCCACCACCCTGGGCAGCCCATGGAGGGTGCAGAGCAGTGGGGTGCTCAGCACTGCAGCCCTACAGGTACGTGGTGGCCTCTCTGCTCTCCCTCTCCTTGGCCTGTGCGATAGCAACGTTGATGCACTGCAGCCACTCCTCCGTGCTCTTCTCATCCTTGGCCTTGAAGACGTAGCTCTTGCTGTCAGTAAAGATCTCGAAGGCTCGAGGCAGGCTGCGGTCCCGGCGCTTCTTGGCCACCACTTTGACACTCTGCACCTTGCTGAGCTCAATGGGGCAGTCGTCGGGGTCGTCTTTCTGAAACACAGGGTGGGGAAGATAAACAGAACCGAGTTCACACGCTGGGGCTTCCACCAAAAGGGGAGCAGCCACTTCTTGTGCTGGTCTGGAAAACAGAAGAGGTATTTTGTGCCTGACTCTGGAATGCAAAGGAAGCCATGGCAGTTTTCAATGGGGAATGGAGTGCATGGCACAGCTCAGTCGTGCTGTGGTTTGAAAACAGACAGCAGCACATCTGTGAAACCTCAGCATCACAGTAAGAGTGGGGATGGGATGCAGGGAGCAGCAGAGATGGCTGCAAAGAGTCACAGAAGTTTCCTGTGGGAGATCTGTGAGCTCACCAAACAGACACGAGCTGCAGTCTCCAGATGAGACTTGTGAGCCCCAGTCCCCCAATGCTGTGTATGTTTCTCCTGTTGAGATTCTTAGGCTTTTTAGCAAGAGGAGTAAGGCAGGTTTTCCAAAAGCTTTCTGCTCCAACCACATGGATTCCCCATGCATGGACACGACTCCAACACCAGCTCAGGCTCTATGGTTGCCCAAGGAGGCTGTGGATGCCCCATCCCCGCAGGCATTCAAGGCCAGGCTGGATGTGGCTCTGGGCAGCCTGGTCTGCTGGTTGGCGACCTGCACACAGCAGGGGGTTGGAACTGGATGAGCACTATGGGCCTTTTCAGCCCAGGCCATTCTAGGATTCTATGATTCTATGACAGCAGTAAGCAGCTCCACACTGAGATCAGACCTACGTTAAATACTGAGAATTTTATCACAGCAAATGCAAAACAACAACAAGCTGAGGGAGAAAACTTTGCACCCTGTGAGACAGACCTGCCAACAGGTATTGAGCAAAACCACTATGCTCCCTTGATGGGATGTCGTGTACACGCTGCTAAAAGCTGCTCAAGAAAGCTGATTGTACCCATGGCACATTTCTGTGAATACTGTTTACCACAATTTTCCAGGACTGTGGGATGTGGCTCATTTTGAACCTCTTCTGTTTTGGTTTTCTCCTGCCTCCCTTCACCCATTGGCAATCCCACTGCTTACTCAGAGCAAAGAGCATCCGCGTGGGTACATCTGCAGAGGGAAGGTTTGTGGTGGGAAAGAGGCACTCACAGCCAGCTGGCCGCCCTGCTCTGCCTCCTCTGTGCTGCTTTGGGCTTCCAGGCAAGCAGTGTGACAGTCCCAGCACTCACATGTGCCCATCCCTGAGCAGCAGTGCCAGATCTGTGCAGCTGGAGCAGAGCTGTCCCGCTCAGCCCTGCAATGAGCACCAGATGAGGCAGAACCTCTTTCCCTTCTAAATACAGAGCTATTTACGAGCCTTCACGGCTGCAATGCTACTAGTGGGTCCTGCAGCCATCCTGTTGCTGGTGGGACCTCCCTCCTGCTGCTTGCTGCCCCAGCACAGCGTCTCGCTGTCTGCTCACAGTCCAATGCTGGACAGACTTTGTGGCACTGAGAGCAAACCTGCCCCTTCCCACCAGATGCAGACACGGAGCAAGACAGAGCACGATGCACAGCCAGGCAAGCCCCTCTGCTGGTGTGTGCAGCAGTCAACCCCAGGCCTGCATACAACACAGGGCCTGGGGGGCTCCTGTGCTGCAGCCCAGGCAATGGTTAACATCTCAACTATCTAATTTAAGCAAAAAATGTAGTGGTAACAGGATATAAGGCAGCAGTTGGAGGACTGATTGCCCAGGCACAACCACCGCAGTCCCTGGGGGCTGGATGCCAGTCTGCTCCTCGGAGAGCCAGATATTTGTGTGCAGCTCCAGAGGAAACAAAGAAACTTGGATCTGACAGCTATGAAAGGGAAGTTAACCTATATGAGTTCTGCCATCTAGCAAACCATCTCTGTCTGACCATCTCCTCACGTCAACCAGGAGAGCACTGAGAGCACAGTGCCAGGGGCGACTGCTCCACACTAATAGCATCCCATAGGAATCAAGGTGTTCAGTGTGACTTTTGCCTGCCTTGTTTGCACAGCTAATTAAATCCATTCAGTTAAATGCATTTCCTTCAGCCAATCACCATGCTAAAAGAAATGACAACTACTCCAGCACTACAAAAAGTGAACCTCAGCCAATCCTGAGCTGAAGCTGAGACACTGTATGGATTGAAATGTCTTCAAGATCTCAGTTCATCAGAAAAAGTCACCAGAAAGTAAAGAAAAAACTATTCTGTTTGCAAGGGCCAATGCCCTCCCTGCTGCAGTCCTTGGAGGAAGGGGCTCAGGAAGCCATTTCAGAGGCTTAAAGAGCTTTGCTGGGTTTCTGCAATGAAAAAGATTATTTACCAGAAATATTAAGGCTTGGCTACAGCTGGAGGATGCTGCTATTTTTGGATTACCAAAGAGAGTGCTGTTGCAACAAAAATAAAAGGTCTGTTTTGTGCCATGTTTGATAATCCTCACTGTGAACAGCTGAGGATAGTTAGTTTCTACTAACGGGCAAGTAAGAACTAATGAGGACTGGATTTAATTACCTGCTTGTCCATGCCCAGCAATGAACTTGTCTCTGAGTCACACTGGTGTCACTTCCAAATGATTTCACAGAAATTTCAGCAGAGTTGCCCTGAATTTAGATGAGGGCAGAAGTGAAAGACAACACTCGGTTCCTTTGGGAGAGGAGCACTTTGGCATCACCTTGCCTTAAACAAACCTGTACTTCCTGCACAAACAACGCCGGGTATGGGAACACTCTGCAAGGGGGAAAATATATTTATCTGAGCAGAGTTTATTGAAATAGCGTTTATGCAGTGTAATAATTGCTAGGCAGATGGACAGCCAGATTTACATCGCCATTCTGTTGGTGGTGGATGCACTCGTGGTGCCGGAGCACTCTGGTGTCAGCTGGGATAGAACTGGTTTTCCCAGAAGGTGCTGGGAGCAATGGCTCAGCTGGAGGTGGCTGGCTGGAGCATGAGGTCCATGGCAAAAGCCACGTGGTGGAACCCCTGGGAATGGTGATGCAGAGGAGATGAACACAGGAGGTGAGCTGATGCGCTCCATACTTACGGATTTTCCTTTCCGAAAGAGCAGCTGGTTTCCAGCAAGGGTGAAGTAGCGAGTTTTCCACCTCTTGATGAACTTCCAGCGGACTTGCTTCTCCTTCAGCTTGCCTTCCATCAGCGGCTGCCCGTCCTGGTTCACTTCTGGGGGGGAGATCACAGAGCAGGGGTTATCTCTGCCCTCTGTTGCAGTGCTGAATATCCGCAGTTTGGCTGACAGCTCTGCCTGCATTCCTCCTGACCCCAGTGCCCAGCCTTAGTCATACACTGCCTGGGAGGCCTGGCAGCCTCAGCAGGCTGCAATTCTTCCTTCAGTCCCTTGTTCATCACATACTTATCCTCAGCATCACGCCTCCCAATTGTTCCTCAGCCCTGCAAGAATTTATTACTCTGTACAACTGGAGGCCAGCACTTATGTTGTCTATATGGCTTCACGCCATGCTGCAGAGTTCAGCACAGAGTTCTGCTCCTGCTCTGCAGTGCTGTGGGCAGGTTACCTCGCTCCCCACTCACTGCTGTGTGCCCAGCAGCACGGCTTGCCTGTGCTTTCAGCTGCACACCCACATTTTTCATAGAATCATAGAATTGCTCAGGTTGGAAAAGACCTTAAAGATCATCAAGTCCAACCACAACCCAGCCATCCTACTCTAACGCTAACAGCCCTCTGCTAAATCACATCCCTGAGCACCACATCCAAACGGTTTTTAAGCACATCCAGGGATGGTGACTCGACCACCTCCCAGGGCAGCCCATTCCAGTGCTTAACAATCCTTTCTGTAAAGTTGTTTTTCCTGATATCCAACCTAAACCTGCCCTGGACCTTTTGCAACAATATTCACTTACTTATCATTAGCCTTTCTGCTTCCCTGAGTGGCAACAGCAAAAACAGCACCTGTGCAATGCATGGGTGAATGCCATCTGTATGGAGCGTGTGTTAAATGAAAGATCTGCCCAGGTCAGCGAGGAGGGAGAGAGGGAGACACAACAGCTTCTGCTCCCCTCCAACTGCACGGCAGCGCTCCTACAGCTGGGGCAGAAGGCGGTGACAGATGCAGCAGGTTTAGATCAGGAATGTGGTTTTTTCCCCAGCGTTGTTTACACTGGCAGTAACACAGGCTTTGGGGGTCTTCAGCGTGTACTGCTTCAATTTCCTCATGAAAGGCTGTAAATATTTCTGTCTCTGGAAGGAGATACACTGAATGAAAATGGGGGTGGCCAAGTTTTAGCCACAATAGGGAACCGTGCCCGTGATTTCCGTGATAAAGAGAGGTCGTTCTGCACTCCTTGCAGCCCCATCCCTCCATCATTCCCATCAATTGCCATTCACGTGAGCAGCCTCTCGGTGGAAGGAATCTTTTTCTAAATGAACACTCTAAATGACTCATTACGTGCGCAGTAACTTTCAGACCTTGATGTCATCTGGATGGAGCTATAGAAAGATTTGATATAGAAAGACAGTTGCTCAATGGTTAGGCTTTGTGAAGCAGTACTGATTCCAGGGCAGTAGGGACACGTTTTAAGCCAAACTGAGAAGCTTTAAGGCACAAAACGTTTGGGCACTGAGATGTTTGGTGGTCAGGAAAGCAACATGGGAAAGGAAGTTAACATGCAATTGTGGCCTAAACTGGATTTTCATGGCCAAAGTCTTTCACAAACAGGATTTACTGAAGAAATGCTGGTCTGTCTTTAAGCACTCGGGGCTGGAACCATGATAACAGAGCACTTCTTGCCTACATCCACTAAGAGGTCCATGGGGAATTCTGATGTCAGCTGCCAAAGTTGTCATAATGAAGCAGATGCCAGTATGTCTGAGGGTCTGATTAGAAGAAAAAGATTCATGAAAGATAAGAATGAAGCTCTTTTCCAATACTTTTTTCTAAGTCCTTTTGCTTGTTTTGATTGCAGTTAACTTCACAGAGAGGCAGAATCATTCAGCTGGAAGGGAGCTCGTGGGGCTGATCATCCCTCCTCCTGCTCACAGCAAGGTTGGCTCTGGGGTCAGGCCAAGTTGCTCAAAGATTTAATGACCTGGGATGTGAAAATCTCAACGACCTCTTCCGGGAAGCTGCCCCAATGACTGACCATCCCTGCAGTGGGAAAACTTCCCTTTGCAGCTGATATGAATTTCCCCAAAACTCCCAAGGCTGCCCACACCAATCCTTACTGGGATTTTACTTGGCCATCATTGAATACATGGTGTGTGCAAAGTAGGAGTCCATGCATGGGGCTGTGCAGGCACAGGGCATCAGGAGTGGACCCACACTGCCCCAGGAAGGCAGAGATTCACTCTGAACTCTTGCCAGATCCAAACTCAGTTGCTGTTGACCCATGGTTTACCACACAGAGCATCGTTACGTGGAAGAAGCATCTGCATTTTTAATGAAGGAATTAAATGAACGAAGGATTAAAAAAGTGCAATCAGCTGGCAGGTGGAACGTGCACTTCCCCTGTACGCAAACTAATCACTGGAATATTGTGTCTAGTTTTGATTTGCTCAGCTCCAGGCAAACTGCGAAGGCTCCAGAAGAGCGATACAAAAATGGCTGATCTTCCATACGATCATTCATGTCATGGGAAACTGAGGAAGTGCATTCTCTCCAGTTCCTCAAGCAAAGATCTAGATGTGACGTGATAAAGTCTACATAGAGCAATTTTCCTCAGAACATGGAAGGGCACCTTGAGATCCAGAGCTCAGTGACAAGGCAGAAATAATCCCACATTTTAGCAGGAGGTCGATTTACCTAAGCAACAACTCTTGAGTTGTCCTTCACTTACTTTTAAAGAACAGGTTTAGGCATCTTTAGAGAAATATGCCGATGTGATACTGATCAAAGAGAAAAGATTTCCTCCACATAAGCATTATTGGACTGGGTCTATACTAAATAGCACCCTAAAAATAAAAACGATGCTTTTTTTCCTACCATAATATCCATTGCTTTTTAAGCCATCTCAGTGGAGGAAGACTAACTCCAAAATCAATTCAACCCCAAATAATACCCACTGATGTAAGTGTACACCATGATGTAAGCTGGAATTGTTTTCTATCGCCTGTATCTTGTTTTCTTTGCAGAATTACAGTGCGCCAGGCCCCGAGTTGTTTGGGTACTGAACAAAAGTAACAAAGACAAAACAAAACCTGACACCCTTCCAAGATGAACTCAAGAAAAAAGCAAAGCATTAAATCTTCTGTTTGATGAAATGAAGCCATGCACAAAAATTCAGTCTCATCATGAATGATCTCAATGATAATAAGCCCCTCTTAACTTGAAAGAATGGAATGTGTGGGTGGCAGGCAGAAGATAAATGCAATTAACCTAAGGGAATATGGATTGGCTCTCCTTCATTAATCACCGCATTTGGTTTTGTTGAAAACCTGGAAAGGACACGTTACCAAATGCCACTTTTTATGATTTTCAAGCAAGCATTACAGCGGGGATATTTCAGTTCACCAGATAATCACCACTGCTAGCAAAAGATAAATGCATCCCCAAGTTAACACGGTGTGGGCTCTTCTGAGCGAATTGCTTTTTGAAGGAGGAATTCATAAAAAGCCCTCCGTTTTACCCGAATCATTGCCCATGGGCACGATGTCTCCTCTGCAGCCCACGGGGATTACTGCGATTTCTTTGTAAGCTTCCAGAACAAGGCATGCACTGCAATTCCCTCGCAGGCTATCAAGTGGTTTTACTGAATTTTTGGTGTGCAAAGGCTTGCGAGCCAACTGTCAGCGTGGGAGGTTATGTTGAAATGCAGCTCCTAAAAGCCAGCTTTTCCCAACAAGAGGCACGCAGTGCTGACTAACGCTTCTAATGCCTTACATCCACGCTTGAATGGTTATTGTTGTAAAAAAATAAAAATAGAAAATGGTGCAGTTTGGTTTCCCCAGCTCTGGGACCAGCAGCAGAGCCAGCGTGCGTACGTGGATGTGGGCAGATGAGTCGGGCTTGCAGGAATGCTCTCTCCCTCCTTGGCTCAGGGGTAGCAGGAACAAAATAACTCAGGATGATTTAGCAGCACTTCTGGAAGAGTGTGGTTGTCTAAGTAATGCTTTCAAGTGAGAAGAATGCATGTGAAATGGTCAAACTTTCTCTGTGCTGATTGCTGCGTTGGGTTCACCCACTGCATTGCTGAAGCACAACTGCATCTGCAAACAGCACCACAGAGCACAGCCAGATCCAGGCTTCAGGGCATAATCCTTCCCTAAGTCCCCAGGATAAATAGCATCTTGCAACACGGTATCCAAAAAATGTCACAAAAACCCAACATTAGCAGAAAGCAAACGAAAATAATGGAAAAAGAATTTGCTTCTGAATTCCTTCTTGAAGGACCGGGTTGCTAAACAGCATTGCTGAGAGGGAGGAATGACTTTCTTGTCTTTCAAAAGTACTTGGGATTTCCAAAGGGTCTGTCCCACTGTGGAACAGGATAAAAGATGTGTCACAGCCTTTACATTTCTCTCCCACTCCAGGAGACCTCGGAGCCCTTTTTCTGTCACATCTCATAAACCCCCCAGTGAGCCCTGAGTGTCTCCCACTCTGGCACCACTCTTCCCATAGCTCCACACCCCCATTTCAGGAACGTTTACCTGCAGGTTTTCACCCACTAAGCGCTATCTTCCTCCCTCTCGTGCATCTGAGCTGTGTTACCACTAAGCAGTTCATTCACTTGGACTTCTCAGGGCATTAAGAACTGAGGAGCGAGCTCCAATAAGCTTTGGTGTTTTAAACAAGATGGGCTCATTTTCCTCATGGCTTGACATCTATCTCATTCCAATGTGATGGACAAAGCACAGTAAGGCCACTGGACTGACAGCTCAGAGCATGACTTCTCCTGTGATAGATGAGTCCCATATGAGAGCAGAAGGAGGAAGAGTAGGGAATGCCCCATGGAATGAGGGCAACTGCTCAAGCAGATAGCTGAATCAGCAAGCTATGCAAAGGCTTGGCCAAATAATTCATAATTCTCAGCCAGAATTGTGCATGCAGTCAAGTTGTGGCAAAATCCTCCAAAAAAAAGCTATCCCGCACCAGAAATTTTTACCTGGGACGAAGTTCACTTCCCCTCGCCTTGTTTTCTAACGTAGTTGAAGTATATCACGGCTGTCCCTAAGTACTGCTTTGCTCTGAAGATGTCCCCTACAGACACAGAGATGTTAAAGGAAGTGGAGTCCCTGGACGACCTCCCTGGGAAGCCCTGACAGAGGACACAGGCCAGGTGCAATATCAGTGCTGATGTCCCCTAAGGAGTGGCATGTGGGATGCAGCCAGGCAGAGGCAGCCCCATTATCTGTGTGCTGCAGGACGGGCGCAGAGCCCTCCCCAAGCACTAGCAATCATGCAGAGTTGTGGGTTTACATTCCAAATCTCACCAGGAATGCTGAGATGAGTTTCATGGAGAGTTCCAATGGAAACAGACAGCATCTCTGCTACGCTGGGAAGTTAGCTTTGCTTTTGCACAAACAGCAGCACCAGCAGCACTCCTGCACAGTGCAGAACCACACTGCTATGCAGCCCTGGCTGCAGCCCGCCCACAGAGCACTCACCTGTTGCCTTCTCAGGGTTGTTGCACATGAAGCACTGCCAGGCTCCCGCTTCCTCGCTGTAGCCAAATAAATCAAAGAACCTCACTTCTTCCAGGTGCATCTGCACGTGGTCCAGATCCTGGGCCAATAAGGAGAGAAACCAAACCCCCTTACACCTCGGGACCCCGCATCACAGCAGGAGCTGACAAGTGCCCTCTCTCACTGGTCTCATGCTGACAAACAGCCCGCCCAGGTGAATTGCTGAGCAGGGCATCTCCCTCTGCCATTGGCAGCACCCACTGTAACAGCTCTCTGGAAGCAAATCATGGGGCTGAGTGCTTTCCACCTCCCTTCCACCAGAGCCTACAGCTGAGCCCCTCCTTCCCTCCAGCCCTCAGTGTTCTCCAGGATCCCCAGGGCAGTGGTTCCAATGCTGGGGAACTCCTGTCTGACCAGATGTGTCCCATGGGTTCCCAGTGCAGCCAGGGGGAGTGGCTGCTCTTTTTTTCTGTTCTCTTTTTGTTATTATTGTTGTTGTTTATAAAGAAGGAAGTTCTGAACCCACCCCCCATGCAAGAAGCACTGATAATAATAACGTTTTAAAATGTCAATGTGAATGTTTCCAGAAATGAAGCAACAACGGGATGGATTTATCTGCACAAAACACATCCAGGTACACGTGATGCTGTCCTTCCACTGAGAGCAGGCAGGAAAGTGAGGGCTGGGCCACAAAGCCAATGTGATGCCTGACTCTATCAAAAGCCTGCAGAAAGCTCAGCTGCAGCTCTCAGAAGGAGCCAGGAGATGCTCTGTCCGAGGCCTTTAAAACATGGTGTAATTTGTTGTCATTTCAACCCCACCATTTAATTTTTATAAAGATGGTGACCTCACATTTAAACGGACATCAGATAACAACAACCACACTGCTCCCTGTGCAGAAGGAGCAGGCAGGAAGGCTCAGAAAACATTCCTGCTTGTTTCGTCGGGAACATCACCGGTCTGCAGCACAGCCCAAAGAAAACAAGAATTCATGCAGTAGATGGGAGGGAACAAAACCCTGTGCTGCCAGGGACATGGGCTCACCCCACAGAGCAAAGAGGAGCTGTGCCATTCTCACCTTTTCTATCTGCTGGGGCAGGAAGGGCTGCGTGCTCTGCCCCATGGCACTGCACATCACAGCACAATGTGGTTGCATTGCTCTGTCTGCACTGCTGAGGTGCTTACTCCCCCATGAAGAGGAACTGCTTGCAGCTCAGGAGCATGTCTGGCTGCTGTGCTGTGCAATGGGAGAGGTGCACAGCCTTTCCCCTACCATTCTCCCACCCACCTGGGGGCTGTGGGGTGGACAAAGCACATAGGGCACTGCTCCCAGTGGGTCTGTGCAGGATGGAGCTGAACAACAAGCCTGGGATTCTGAGGGAAACCTTCCAACATCTGCAATGAGCCGTGTGAAAGGCAAATGTTGGGGAAATACTGAGGCAGCCATTGTCCTTTTTCACTCTGTATTCCTTGTATGCCAAAACAAGGAGCTGATTTTGGGATGAGAAGCACAGGGAAAACGCCTCACTGGAGGGGAGAGATGCACCTCATCCTGCCCTCCATCATCTGGGAGATGTCAGTGACCACACTGTGAGAGCACAGCACCTCATTCTGCTGCACAGAGGGAGATAGCAGACAAAGAGCAGGGAAGGACAGAGCCAACAGTGGCTTAAAAATGTGAACTATTTTCCTGCAAAGCTGCTCAGCAGGAGGCACTCAGAGGGAACCGCCTGGCTGCACTGACATACCACGATGCAGCACAATGCACTCTGCACAGCTGCAACCAGCACAGCCTTCGTACTCCTGGGTAGAGAGCAGTGGGGCAATGGAATGAGATCTGTAGGGATGCACATCTGGAAGCACTTTACTCCCGGCACGTTTTGAGCTGTGTTGAATCAATATATTTTGTGGCACGATCCCGTTGTCCATTTGGCTTTTGAGACAGCAGTGCCCAGCGATACGGGCATTCTCACTGCAAGGCATCTGCTGCAATTCCTTGCACGCACAGGTCAGCCCAGTTCCGAATTCTGACAGCAAGGTGAAGCTGGAAATACTGCTCAGAATTTACTTTGGGATAAATCACTGACGCAATAGCTTTTCCTCCTGGTTTGCAACAGTCTTTCGAATACACATCAAGGAAACGTCTGCGTTGATTTATAGTGGAGCAGAGGTCACAGCATTGGCTTTGCTGGGCGCCTGCTGGCTGCTGGCCTGCAGTGTTCCCTGCATGCTCCCACATCAGCAGCAGCATCCCCAATTCTGGCACAGCCATTCGGACAGTGCTGTAACACGGGGTGCAGGACTTGGGTAGAGAACACGGTGTTCATTCTGCAGCGGATTCCAAACGTCATCAAGAGATTTCAAAACATTTTAAAGGAAAACATCCAGAAATCTGCTTTCCGTGCTACTGGAAGAGGAGTGAGATTAGCAGCAGCAATCGTTTTGTCAAATCATTTGCTATTTTGGAGTCCATTGGTGACAGGGAGAACTTTGGACACCAAAACATCAGGTTTTTGGGAAGCACAGCCTGCTGGGCAGAGCGATGGCTGGGTCACACCATGAGTGCTCCCATCAGGTTTTGGCAGGTAAAGTTAAAGAAACCCTCCTTCCACCCAGCAGGCCCAGGTTCCCCTCCATGAGAGCTCCATCAAATTCACTCAGTTGCTCAACAGAAACATCACGGAATCCAAATTCAGATTCTGTGTTATATGCAAAACAAAAATGGAGGAAGTAGTTGAAGCAGCACGCTGCGGGGAGCACCGCTGAAGCCATTCCCCTCCCAGATGCATTACATCAGCCCAACAGTCCTTGGCCTCCAGAGCACTTCCCATAACCAGCATCTTCTGGAGCTCCCTCTGCCCATCCATTATGTTACAAATGATCAGTATCTCATTTTCCAGCCCCACTACTTCAGGAACTGGGAGACACTCTTCCTGTTGGGCAGCGCCGGGAGTTCCCCAAACAGGCTGAATGCCTCTCTGACAGCAGCAGGATTGTGCAACCAGTGTGCTGGGGACTGATCACATTTCGAGGCATTTTTCAGAATGGGAAACAGTGCACTGTATCTAAGTCTAATGAAAGCATGCTCTTTTCCAAGCCCTATATTCACCCCAAACCCTTCTGTGTTCCACCAGTTCTGACCTGACAAATGGCATAGATCCAAGTTAAACGGCACTGTGCATACAGAGACATCCTTAATGCCTCTGGATGACTCCAGCTGGGATTTCCAAGCAGATAACAGACCAAATGGGGACTCTGCTGAGCCTATGTCCAGTGGCCCATAAGCTGTGACCCACTGCTCTCACATTGTGGCAGCAGCTCCCTGCTCTGTCCAATGCAAGCTTGGGGTTCAGAAGGTGTTTCTAATGAAACTCCTGTTTTTAAACTGCCCACAACTTTCATAAATTAAACTTATTCAGCCAGACATGTTTATGCCTGAGAGAGAGTCCTGAGAGAGTGTGTTTTAAAACCATGTTTGACAGTGCATTTCATCCCATTTCACTGGATGGAGATGTTCGGGGATGAATAGATATTTGTTTCACAATCCTATAGCGTCCTTTTCCAAGAAGCCCGATTAACAGCTTTGAAATGGCATTCCCCGAAATCCTGGAGACAGTAAACAGCTTTGAAAGAGTAATCTTTTTAACTGGTAGGGGCAACCAGTGGTGCACGTGCAAATGGTCGTCTTCATAAAAGCCAAGTCTGTGTTTAAGGAGGCAAATTTCCCGGCAGCTGCGTGACTCAGAAGCGGACTTAGAATCATAGAATGACCGAGGTTGGAAAAGAGCTCTAAGATCATCCAGTCCAACCATCCACCATCCATCTATCACAGTATTTCCCACTAAACCATGTCCCTCGGTACAACACCTATACGTCCCTTGAACGCCTCCAGGGATGGTGACTCCACCACCTCCCTGGACTTCCTAATCTGCAGAACTTCTGATGGATGGGAGGGGAAGAAGGAAGGGCAAAGGGCTTGTTTTTCACAGTTAGAGCACAGCAAACACTCAGTAGAGCTTTTTAAAAGCTTTTTTTCCTCTCAGAGGAAAAGCATACTTACCTTTTGGTGTGGGAATGTAGACTGGATCATGGCAGTTTCAAAACTGTGGGTCCCCTTGAGCTGTGTCTTCTCCCACAGGGCCTTGAGGACTTGCACTGAACTACTCTGCATTGACAAAGGTTCAGCAAACAGGCTCTGCAAAAAATGTTGGAAAGTGCATTTTGAGCATTTTTGACTCAGCCATTAACCAAGAGCATCTTGTTCTTTTTCATACCACGGCAGCCATGCGGGTAACAAGCAACTAGTTCATTTCTCTTTCAGGAGTGATGATGGATGTACATTCACAATGTTAGATGAACGCCCACAGGTTTCACTTGCTTCTGGGGCTTTGCACTGAGCAGAAAGGGTGACAGAAGACATCAGGTTGGGTGCTGTCACCTCCAAGACCACCTGTTCCAACGGGCTGGGATGCGACCTAATGATGCCTTGAAATACTCTACTGTTGCAGTGCAGTTAGGTTCTTCACCATATGAACTGCATACAAAGCCAACATTAAAAGAGTGGCTAAGAGAGCTTAGCATTATTCCTCTACTATATCTACAACATGATCTTGTAAATAGAAAATGCATTTGCATGCTGGAGCCAAGTTAAGAGCACACAAGCAAATCCAATGTTCCGTACTTCTAATGCTGGATTGCACAACACGTGCAACCCAGCTGGATTGCTCTGCCTGAATTAGAGCTGGGAAACAAAGCGCCTGGGGCTGTCGCTGGGCACGAGGAGCCTGCAGTCTGTTAGCTGGGGCTTAGACCAACTGAGGGGCTGTCAGGGGAGTGCTGGGCACAGTGTGACACTGCACACCAATGGGGGAAACCAACCCCAAGTCTTAATGCAGTACAGGATGATTTTAGTGACCGAATCCAAGAGCACCTCCTGTGTCATAGGGTACCCCTATTCTCATTTTCTTCCTTTTGTTAGTTATCGCTCTTCTGTCTGACAATCAGCTCTGCACTGAAATATGCTGCCTTCCCTCTGACCGAGAGCTGCCCAGCCAAGAAAACAGCGTACACAAGTTTCACAACTTCCATCTGAGAGGTTTGAAACACGATACAGCTACCCATTAAAATTTCTGAAATTCAATAAAAAGCAGAGCCTTGAAATTAAGGGTCTGCTCTGGAGACCTGAGAGAAAAACTATTTCTTGCTTCTACTGCTGCAGAGTCCAAGAGAACATAGTGTGAGCAACAATCAGTGAACAGAAACACAGTGTGGAAATCTGCAGAAATTGTGAATTAGGCATCACAGCCACACAGCAGTACTGTTTTTTCCAATCATTTCTATACTCATTTCTAGGAACAGAGGGAGGAGTGACCTGACCTGCCACAGCATCACTCACCGTAGCAGTTCCACATTCCAGATAAACCTTTTGTATTTCAGAGGGTGCAGTAGGGTGGGGTTAATGGCAATGGTCAGATCTATTTAGGTTAAAAAAAAATTTAGGACCCAGTTGTTTTACAATAAGTTCATCTTGAACAGTGTAATAATTAAGAGAAATCCTTACAAACTGCAAAACCACTTCAATCTGCTATGATGTAACCTCAGAGGTAAGCAACCACTTGAGTCACAAAAGCTCACCCAGTGGGCTAAGAGTGCATTCCAACAGATTAACCCCTAAAACATTGTTCCAAGCACAACATCAGAGATGCGCCCCGCCACTGCCCTGCACACACCTGCTGGAAGAGGAACATGATGTGGATCCACAGTGGAGGCTGCGGGCTGAGCAGTGTGAAGCTAGATTTGCTGTAGAGGCAGTAGTGGCCCTTCAGGGGACAGCTGAAGAACAGCTTTGCTACACAGCTTCTCATGGTATCTGAAAGTAAATAGAAAGAATATGAAAATCAGCTGCATACCAGAGGTGTAGCTGCCCCTAGCTGGGCACTGCCATGCCTGGGGATGGCTCTGGTGCACACAGTGCCCAGGTTAAAGAACATGAACACGAGTGTGTGTCAGCAGAGCTGCTGCTGTTGCTCACTCCAGCTTTCTAGGTGCAGGTAGGTAACTGCCTCTGGGAATAATCCATGCATTATTTGAGTTACAGTGGTAATCTTGTACTATTAAGTGAAGTCTGTTAATAGGAGACGAAGTATGCTTATTATCAGCTTCCCATCTGGAATCAAACTCACCCATAGACACAGAACTGGAGAAGAGGAAATGAATATGACTTTTATAATGTCAGTTTTCAACCATTTTCAGTTTCCTCGGTTTCCCTTCAGTTTGGGTTATAGATGGGGATGCAAAGAATAACTGTAGGAGAAAAGGGTATTGGTTGGAGCAGTCAGCTTCAGGAAATGATCACCTCCTGGAGCACCACCAGCTGTGCATGCACATGGCTGGGTGCAGCCAGCGTTACCAGCAGCAGGGCATGCATGTTGTCACACAGATGGCATGATGCTGATGGGCACTGGGTGGCCCCTGCAACACCATCAGAACAGAACTCAAATCTGAGTGGCAGAGGCCACATTTGGGAGCACACAGATCTGCCCAACTTCATACAGTTCTCTGCCTTCCTAACCTAACCTAACCTGCCTTCCTTCACCCTTCACTGCCAGGGGTTGTGATGCACCTGGGAGGGATCCCTTTGCTCAGCATCAGCACCAAGGGCTGCTCACCCCTGCATGAGGCCAAGATGGTGCCACTCCTATGGGCCATGGCCTCTGGCTGCTGCAGTATGGAATAGCAAACCACAGTGGGAGGCTGCTACCTCCAAGTAAATGACATCTGGAGAGGTCCACGTGACCATGAGCACATCCACCTTCCTGCTGCACTGCCCTGGGGATATCTCCGCAGATCCCACGAGCACAAGGACCATCCTATGCCTTTGGGTCAAATCCGAGCATTCATAGCAGCTCTGTGGGATAAAATCCCCACTGGTATAACAGCAGTATAACGGCAGCACCCAATGCCCCACCAGGGCCACAGCTGCTTCCCATCAGTGCAGAAGCACCAGGCTGCAGCAGAGGTGCGCGCTGCAGGGGAGCTGTGAGCTTTTGCATCACCTCCATTGTATGGTACCAATTACCCCACAGCACAACAGAATGCTTAACAACAACCAGATTCAGGACCAGTGGGCTGCAACCTGCTTCCCTGCTGCCTCCTCCTTTATCAGCACTCTAAGCCCCAGAACATGTGTGCCTATGGCAGAGCATCACGGAACCGGGAGACCACTATACTGAGGGGCTGAGATGCTGTTCATTGAATTCAGCTTCAGTGCCCAAGAACTTGATGATGCACTGGGTCTCCCTGGTCTCTGCTCTTCTAAGGCAGAGATGTGCCTGGTGAAAGGCTCTCAGCCTGGAATTTACCTAATCACTTGTGAAAGCAGGTACTCTTTCAGTATAATTAATGCACTGTAGCAATCAGTTCTGCCATGAAATGACATGCAGCTAATTACATAGCACCTATTTTGTATATGTTGAGTTTGCTTCCTGACAACTTCATTACATCTTCTCCTATATGCATAATAGGACAGAGGGTGAGCCACCACTCCTAGTGAATCTTCTGTCATCTGTGATTTACAGAACCCTGCCAGCAGGCTCTTTTTGGACTGTGCAGTCCCAGGTCAGTTCAGCCTCCTGCATTTAGGGGCTCTGATGATCCTCACACTCCTCCCACAGGTCTGCTTTGTCATTCAGGATTCAGACTGTAATCAATGTAGACAATCACTTAACGATGTCATCGTGACATATCTGTTTTTCTTCATAATTCTTCTTTGCTCCATTTGCTTTCCAGCCCTCAGAGAACGTTCAGTTGCACCACATCTGGAAAATCTTTAATATCTCTCAACTCTTGGAAGCGGATGCCCTTGGTACTGGTGTCCCATACCTGGCAGGGGCTCCAAACGCCAATTCTGTGCCTTTCCAAAAGCACACAAGCATCTCCTGCCCAAGACAGCATGCCCCAGGCAATGCTTTGGGGGATGGCATCTGGGCTGAGCACTGAGGAACTCAGCAGACAGGTTGGACACCTCCTGCACTAAAAGCACCAGCGTGGTTCTGAATCCTGCTGAAGTGAACAGCATTTGGCCTTTGTTAATTATCACTGCTCCGAACTGCCTGTATTGTATATTTTCTCTCTTATATACTACATTTCCAATTCAACAAGTTCCTACATGGCCAACACTTGCCAACTGTGTGTATTTAGAAACATGTTAATATTTTCTAAACATTTTACTTATAAAGTGAAGCAGATAAGTTTGAATGAGCCTTTCTAGCATGTAGGGATCGTACAAGCCCGTTATCTGCCAGGTTTTTGATGGAGTGGTTTGTGTAATATCTGAAATATGAACAAAGCTGTCCCCCGTGTAAGGAGCCAGACATTTCTTTGAGCATATTTAGAATGAGTCACATAAATCTCCTGTTCTGCACATGTGCCCTACTCAAGGAATTTCCCCAAGAATGCTAGATGTGGATTTCCAGGAAATTACAATAGTTGGAATGAATTTGGAAATAGTCACATGCTTAGAACATATCATAATAGGTACTTCAGAAAGGAAATGGAGCAATGTATTTAGAAATATTGATTAACACAAGATTGCAGCCTTCAGCACTTCGAGTCAGATTGCTCCCTCACATGTTTCCATTGTGATTCTATGAAACGAAAGTTTCATCAATAATAATAACAATTTCAAATAGCAGATCTGGCATTTTTGTCCTTCTTTAGAAATTCCTGCAGAAATATGAGCTTTTATAATAAATAGTTATGTCTCTTTTATGAGTGGAGACTTGTTAACTCACTGACCATAGAAAAAATAAGCAAACAGGCAGTGAGACATCTGATGGAAGTTAAAATCTTCTGATTTGATGTAAGAGACTTGAAATTAACTTGAGTTACTCTGTATAATCAACACGGCCCACGAAGGGCTGGAATGCAAAGTACTCACAGGCACCTTCAGACGGTTTGATGCACGCATCTCCTTGTGTCCCAGTAACCAACAGCTGCTCAGTGTGAGCAGGAGGCTTACAGCCCAACCTCCATCACTTTCCTTCAAGGAGCATCAAGGATGTGTTTAGCAGCATACTGCAAACCAGCCCCACCTCCATGTAGCCTCACAAAAGCAGCTCTCTCACACTTCAAGACAAATATCTCTCCCTGATGAAAGCAGGAACCATTAAGGGGATGTGGTGAAGTAGGATCTAGCCCAAACTGGAGCACCAGGACCTTATGCAGTTGCTTTCAAGCACCATTTTTTGAGGAACCTGGTGGCCCAGCTCTGCAGCTTGTGTTGTCTCAGGCCATATGCTTGTTGAGTTGTGTGCTACTCATAGAATCACAGAATGGTTTGGGTTGGAAGGGACCTTTTAAGTCATCAGTTCCGACTCCTGCTATAGGGATGCCTCCCAGTAGACCAGGTTGCTCACAGCCCCATCCAGCCTGGCCTTGCATGCTTCCAGGGATGAAACATCCACAACCTCTCTATGCAGCCTGTTCCAGTGCAGCCCTGCTCCTGTTCCATTTGCTGCCCACTTGCCCAGATCCTGCAAGAACACTTGTGTTAAACCTGCCATAACCAGAAAGGCTCAGACCTCTTACCTTCAATAACACAATGGTCAGGGATAGGAATCCTCCTCCCCATCTCCATGACATATGCTTTCACTTTACCCAGGTTTTCCTTCATGTGCAGATAGAGCTTGTCGTGGCACTCTGCAGAACCCTTCCCCACCGCCGTGCTTCCTTCCTGGGCCTCTCCTTCAGCAGGTGCTGGAGAACTTTCTGATTCTGTGCAATCGATACTCTGGTGTGAAACCAAGGAATTTCCCAGTTGCACTTCTTCAGCATCGACACTAAAAGGCAACTTGTCATTTTCTTGGCTGATGTAGATCTCGGTGAAGGAGATCCCAGCACTTACATCCCCATTCTCCTCGTCTTGCCCGCTGTCTGTGTTCACCCCCTTCATGCGGACTGCATGCAAAGCCAGGCTCTTGGACCTGGAATGCAATTAGGGAAAAGTGCTTTGGAATGGAGGTACGGCAGAGCACAGTGTGGTGAGCAGTGAGAAAGGACTCATTTGGACACGTGCTCTTCAGAGTTAGCCCTGTGCAGCCAGCCCTGAGAGTTGAGCACAAGGCTAGCTTAGCCAAGGAAAATACCTTCCACAAATACGCATTTCTAAAGCAAATGCAAGCCAGTTTTAATAAGCAAATGAAACTGAATCCTAAACATATATCGCAACATCTGCATGACATGGAGCCAATCAACCTATCTGTGAGAAACTTATAACCCCAGCACTGCAGCATATGCTTTATTGATCACGTCATAAAGATGCCATCCAACAGCAATTTAACTGAACCAAACCTGAACCACAACTCAGCCTCCAGTTCTGCATTACCCACGCCTACAGGCTGAGCACAGAACAAAGGTCTCCATTAGAACAGGAGGCTGGAAGGGAAGCAGGCTGGAAGCTGGCACAAAGCTGATGCATGTTCGTATCTTCCTTTCCACAGTCATCTGTGAACATTTTCCACCTTCCCTGCTGTTTCAGAGTACAGACCAGATTCAATAAATAACTTGGAATTTTTTTGCCAACTTTTAAATTCATGGTTCAAACTCCTTAAAATGCCCATAGGTATCACAGAACCATTTCTCAATATTTGGATAGCGTTTCATTACGAAATTGATATTCCTGAAAACCACTTGTGCATTTAATAGAACCATACCTGTTAAATCTCATATCCTTCCTTTCTTCTTTAGAAACCTGGCCTAAACTGTATCTTCTCACTGAGCCAGGGGTACTGGTGTCAATATTTATTTTTTCTTCAAAAGCCTGTATTTTCACTTGAAGTTTTTCATCTTCTTCATTTCCATTCACAACAGATTTTAAACTGCCCAGTGGTACAGGGGGTACCGTGCCTGTATCATTTTCTGTCCTGGAGAAGCAGAAAGCAGAGATTTAGCTCCAGCACACTTTGCTCCTCATGATGCTGATGCTGCATTTCCACCATTGACCCACGTCATGCGCCTGGGGAAATAATTCTGTTTCTGCAGAGATTTGCCTAGAGGTTGATTAATCATTTTCAGAAACATCTTCCAGATCAACATCTCTGTCAGATGGACCAGAAATATTGAACATCTCTGACAACGTTGGATTAGAAGCTGCATGTGCTGTATCTGCACAAGCAGAAAACCTCTTTTCCTGATAGTCCCACTGGGAAAAGTTTTTCAGCTGAACTTAAACCACTCTTCCAAGCTTGCTAAACAGTGACTTCTTACATTATTTTCATAAACCAAAAGCAGAGCTAATTGCAGGGTTTATAGAAGGCTGTGGTTTTAACAATTTGACGAAAGCACATGCAGTCGGTACTAACTTAATGTACTCTGAGTAAGAAAAACATGTTTTGGAACTCAACACATGGAAAGAAATGGGATCAGGAGAAGTTCTCAATAACTCTACCCAGAGTTCTGAAACAAGCTGGTGTTGCTTCTGGTCCCCTTGGCTTCCTTCTCCACCTTAGGAGCAAACATCCCAATGGCACAATCCGTGAAACGTGGATATAGAAAAGCCACAAACAAGGATTTTAACACACCATCTTCAAAGCAATTGCATCTCAGCAAGTCATGCTCACAGCTGGGAAGCCCCTTAACAAGTCTCAAGCACTGCAAATCAGCAGTTGTGGAAAGAAAGCAAATTTGAAGAAAACAACCGCGAGTACTGCATCACAGAACGCGCTGTTTGTTTCGATAGAGGCAGCTCAGGATATCTCTCAGGGGACACAGCAAGTTTTGTCCTGTTTGGTTTTTAATTCAGGCAGTAACACATTAACACTGCAGAGCATTTCTGAAAGAAGTATTCTACTAAGGAACTGTAGTATGACCTCTGCTAAGAAATCCTTCTGGAGACGTGGGACAGGACTGGGAGTTGGACTGGATGACCTTGTAAGGTCCCTTCCAACTCAACAAATTCTATGACTCTAAGATTTAATTCATTTGAAAGCTGCTAGCCCAGAAGCTCTCTCAACATTGCTCTCACTGTTGTTGACGAGTGCTAAGGAAAGCTTCTTGCACATACGTGTGTGAATATAAAGCCCCGAGTGGGGATGGATGGGCTGATGGCTTTGTGAAAAATGGAGCCAAGCCAGCAAGCCGTGATAATGGCTGGAAATAAGAGTGGACTTTCATACCAGCACCTTTCTTCTAGTGATAGGACAAGGGGGAACGGTCTTAAACTGAGACAGGGGAGATTTAGGTTGGATATTAGGAGGAAGTTTTTCACACAGAGGGTGGTGAGGCACTGGAACAGGTTGCCCAAGGAGGCTGTGGATGCCCCATCCCTGCAGGCATTCAAGGCCAGGCTGGATGTGGCTCTGGGCAGCCTGGTCTGCTGGTTGGCGACCTGCACGCAGCAGGGGTTTGGAACTGGATGAGTATTGTGGTCCTTTTCAATCCAGGTCATTCTATGATTCACAAATGATTCTATGATCCTTTTCCAGCATTCTCCAGTTGAGCCCTGATGGCTTTGCGAAGGAAACACAAGAGAACGCGTCCGCTAAAGAAAGACATCAGCAAAGCAACATGTTAATAAATGCAGAGCTCATCGCCAGACCTTGCACCCCACCTTGGCTCTGATCTGGCTGATACCAGGACCTCCAGCAACCACTTGCTCTCTCACACATACCAGCTCTGCACCCAGGAAGACAAAAGTGCCTCAGAAGAGTGCAGCAAAGCCCCTGCCCTGTGCCCAACGGGATGCTGGCAGCCCTTCCTGCCGGCCTCCCCTTGCAGCAACAGTAAAATAAACTATTGTTTGAAATCTTGGCAAAAGGCATTCGGTACATTGCTGAGGTTGCTGGAGTGGGATCAGCTTACACCAAAGCTCGGACTGGTTTCAAGAGGGAAAGGATGCACAGACCTATCATGGGTCACAAGGATCTTGCTTGCAAAACCCTCAGTGCTGTTGTGCTCCTCATTGTTTCATTGCTGTCAGGCTCTCTTTAGACAACTTTAGAAAGCCATCTGACTCAGCAATCAAGAGTGATATATTAATTTAAGGAGTGTTTCTCTGGACTGTCACCAATATCAGCATCACCCATCTTGTGCTTAAAGTGGGCAGAAGAGTGCCCACAAATAAAAATTACTGAGAATACACCAGGATGGGATGGCTTCCAGATGCAGCTCTGCTGGGAAGCAGTGTAGGTGTATGGAGCACAGGTCCTTGTGATGCATTAATGGACAGCTTTGAAGGCATGGTGGGATGGCACGGGGCAAGCAGGGAGAGGCTGCATCTCAGAGCCTACCTCCACTGATGGGGAGGAAGCTATGAGGAGCTTCCAAATATTGCCAGAAACTAATACCTTGCAGAAAATGAAAGGCAAATGAAAGGTAAATGAATGCTAAACGACGCCATGTGCTCGAGGTAACCTCTCCTCAAGGAAGGAAAGGTACCTCCAGCTGCTACCAACCCGAGCAGCACTGCTGCCATCTCTTACCCCCCAGTCCTTGCCCAGAATGATGGCTTGGAAATGTTAATTTTTCTTCCTGCCTTTTCCTGCCTACTTTTAATTGACTGTGCTACACTTGTTGGTTGGATCTGCCCATTAAGACTCTGTATGTGTGCTTCAAAAGCCCCTCTGAGAGGAAACAACTTGCAATAGAGCATCACATGGTATTAATTACTCTCTCTGCTAAATGCATGTAAAATTCCCAGTGTCAAACAACTCCAAGCGAGCCGTCATTCCAAAGAAATAAGTTTCTTCTTATGTAAACATACAATTCGGGAAGGAATGGTTGCAATCCAGCCACACATTTTAAAACTTCTTTCACAGCACAACTGTTGTGGATTGCTGCTCCTTGAAGCACTGCGGCAGTAATGGCAGCAGCACTGCAGCCAGCACAGATTGCCATGTCAGCCCCTGGGTCGTTCCCACTGAACATCAGCACAAATCAGAAGCAGCTCTGTGTAAATCAGTGGAGATCCCTCCTTTTAGCCTTAATTTGCTGCTCAGTACTTGTTCTTGTCTCGGTTAGCTGATGCTATGCTTGATATAGGCCTGAAATGGTATTTTAATTTCCTTCCACAGCAGACGCAGCTCTGTCCTGCCCTCTCCTTCCCCAGCTCCACACACAATGCAGTATTTTGCATCTGTATCCACACATACACGCACCAAGTAGCTTCTACTTTTCAGCAAAGCAAGTCCTTAACAAAGGGGTGTTTTATAGAGAAACGGGGCAATAACACTTTTTAACAAAAACCTTTTCCTGTACTTTGGATAAATGATAGATGCAGAACATAACAAGGCATAGGAAAACCACAGCATATTAGCAAATAGCGTAATCTTTCTACTACAAATCAAGTGGCCAGCCCTGGGCAGCAGACATAATCCTTGTGCTTTGCATGTTTCTCCCAGCCCTGCAAAACGAGTGGCTCCAGCAGGGCTCCTCTCTTCTCTCATTTCTAACCCTCCAGGATACCAATTAGCTGTTTCTCAGATGACCTCCATGTTTTGGCTCCAGCCCTACGTCTGTCTCCAAGCCCGTCCTTCATGGTTATGAGTTTTCTGACATCCGTTATGCTTTATATCACAGCATTACTATCCCCTTTGTGCCCTCTTGACCTACGTCAGTGTACACAATGCCAATGATAAGTCTCTCCCTAATTAAAAGTGACTGCTACCAGCTATGTAAGTGACACCTACGTTCTTATTGTGACAACCACAGCATTGCTCCCCATGCTTTAATCTTAGGACAGAGATTTGGAGAAGCTGATTGCTACAACAGTTGGGTACAAGTTTCAGGATATTTACTCAGAGCTCTTTAAGCAAACCCACGTCACAGAGCTGTGCCAGCCATTGTTCTTCTCAGCCCCAGTGGTTATCTTCTAGAGTAAACCCAATGATAGTCGTGCAGCCTGACTTCATTGGTTTATTTTTAAAGGAAGTCTTGCAGATTGCCCATGTCTGCTGATGTGGGACACGGCTTTCTTTCTGTGCTTTTGGAAATGCTCAGACTTGAACAGCTTCTTTGTTCTCCAGTGCCAACGAAACAGCTGCTACCATGTGATGTGCAGAAGCACCTGGCATTGCAGGCACCTGGGGATCATCCTTACAGCCTTAAGCTGCTTCTACAAACAGAGGTGCTGTCCATTAGGTGCAAGGGTGAGCTTGCACACAGACCTGACACTATAACCAATGCAATCCATTGCTGAATGTGCATAAACTACAACAAACCACAAGGGATATCGAGATCAATTTGCAAATAGCAACGTAGCAGCTCCCAGGTGCTCCCAGTGCCTTGACAGCCCTGTCACACCCACCGGCTCTACCTGGCTGATGCTGAGCTGCTGCTCTCCAGCTGCCTCACCAGGAGCTTGGCTATGGCAGTGAAACTGTTGCTCATGCGGTAGATGTCTCTGCTCTGGGTGCCCAAGATGCCAGAGAACGTATCAGTGAGACTCTTAATTTCCAGCAAAAGGATGTGGTGAAAAGAGTGCTCCATGTTGGCCAGCTGGTTCACCAAATACATCAGGCACTTCCTGGCTTGCTCCTGGACAACACAAGGAGACAAAAAGAAACAACTCAAAACAGATAAATTCAATGTTTGCTCATGCAAGGTGGGTTGTGTGCACGCTGGGCACACATGGGCACGTGTGCATGCTGCTCATGAAAGCACTGTCATTAGAGAATGGTGGTACCCCTGGAGGCCAAATGCAGGCACATGCTGTGCTCACGTGCCCTCAGCTCAGCGGGGAGCAGACCCTGTGCTCAGGGCTGTGCTGCACAGTTCATGGCTGGTTCCATCTTGGAGCCTTTGTTGTGGCTCCACTGCATGAATGGGCACGTGTCCAGGTTGCTGCCTTGCCCACATTGCCCTCCATAGCTGCAGGCACTCTAGAGCAACCAGGCAGTTAGAGCCAGCTCCACGCATGCCCCTAGCTGTGATAAGCACACAGCCAGCAGCCAATACCTCTTTTTCCAGAGCACAAATATGTTTCCTGATTGTGACTTCCCTTCTGGATCCACTGGGTGTTGCTGCACGTAGTGCTGCCCCCAGGACCAGCCTTCAGCAAAGCTCAGCAATGCAGTGTCCTGGGTACCACTGCAGTCCCCCCAGACCAGTGGGGCTGATGGTGAGGAGTTCAAGCACCCTGTATATCACATATGTATATCACAGCAACTCTCCTTGCACTGCAGTGCAACACTTAGATGAGACCAACACGGCAGCAAAGAGGAGTTTAACATGAGATTTCATCGTAAGATCTCACTGCTGGTGGTGAGCTGCTGCCTGGCAGCCCTATCAGTCATGCCACACGCTGCAGTCTGATATGCCCTCGGTAGCCAAAGCTCTGCTGAGCAATTTACCCACAAGACCACATCCCCTGCCAACTAGGATGAAAAGGGCTGCTTCAGATCCTAATCTAAAAAAGCACAGATATTTTCTAACAAAGATACCTTATCTCTGCTTGGCAAGTGCGCACAAATCCAACTCCAACTACTTCTGTGTGCACATGTGCAAATTCTCATACTAAAACGCAAGCCCTGAAGGTAAAGAAACGCATGGGGGTTTTCTGTGTTTTATTATAATTGTCCTAAGCAGTTTGGGTGAGAACCAAACTGAGTGGCAGAAGCAGCAGAGGGACAAGCCAGTAGCTTCTGTAGCACTGGATCCTCCAGTGGGACAGCAGGACATGGGTCGGGGCAAACCCCTTCCAGCCCAACAGATCCTTACAGAAACTGGGAAAAGCTTTGCTATTAGAACCTGTGCCAAACTGCATGCAAAGGCACTTTAGGAAAATAAAGGCTTCTCATCTTCTTACCAAGCATTAACAGCTAAGGAGGGGAAGCAGCGCATCACATGCAACCTCCCTACGCTGCAGGGCAAGAGCAGTATTGCCTTGGATTTCAGAAGAAACTCCAAATTCTTCTAGAATTGTGTAACAGGAGAGAAAACACCAATGAAGGTTGGGTTCCAAGCACAGCAGGACCATAAAAGCACACAGGAGACTTTGGCAGGACATCACCTGAGAGCTGCGGGAGACACGTGGTGAGAAAAAGTCAACTTGCTCCAAACTAAAGGCGAATGACTGCCCTATGTCATGGCACAGAGGGACAGTGCAGCAGTCAGAAGAGCCACTGCCCTTCAGCCCCATGCAGAACCAGTGCAGGTACTGTGGGGTGGGCTGGGAGCCTTTTTCTCAATGGCTCGAAGGGGGCTGGCTGTTGAGTAAATATTCCCTAGCTTATTTGGAAGACATTCCTCCCTCCTAGAGATAAACACGGGCTCAATTAACATTTAAAACACATTTCTGTTTCCTAAACAAACTGTGCAGCAGACGTAACTGGAAGAGAAGTTCTGAGCGTTGCCGTGTCACTTTGATCCAGCTGGAGCTCCTCCAGCCCGCTGCAACGCTGCTGCTCGCCTGGAGCGAGCTGAAAGAACAATAAACCCCGCCAGCCATGTCATGTGTAACTGTTAAACAAAACAGAGTCACGGCAAAACAGCTCGACATGAAAGCTGTTATTATCTCCGTCGTAATTTTTTATCCAAAAAAAAAAAAAAAAGAAGAAAAAAAAAAGCAGAAAGCCCGTTTGGACATACAGAACCCATTGTTGTTGGAGCTGTGGGTGTTTTCCGTTTTCGTGTGTTTTACTGCAGATATCTCTCACGTTTTCTGGCGCTCTGTCTGCCGGGAGGTGAGGATCCAAACCATTTGGTGAGGTGTGGCCAAGCACTCTGCTGTACCTGAAATCCAGGCTGGGGAGACTACCAAAGAGATGGCAGGGATGGCAGAAGGAGTTGCAGTTTCCAGTTGGTTCAAAACACACACTTATTGGAAGAATGAATCTGAAATACCCAGCTGTGCCCCGAGGTGTGGTTTTGCTTTGCATAAATTTACAGCCAATGAACAGGGTCTGATTCCAGCTTCACCCACCGGACCCTCTGCTCGTATTTGCAGCCTATACTCTAAAAAGCCAACCCTCTATCCTTGCCACTTCTTTTTGCCAAGCGAACCTTCCAGTGAAATCAAATATCAACAAATAAAATTCCGACCCTACCATTACCATTTCATTTCTCACTCGCTTTGCTTGGCCGGAAAGGGGCTGCAGGTGGGGGCTCACGTCCATAGCCCCAGCACTGGAGCAGGATGAGGGGAGCAGCAGAGGTGTTCCAAAAGGCACTTCCATGGTGTCCGGCTTAGGGAACAGCCCTCTGGGACTGCTCTGCTGCTCACACGCCCTGCTGGACCCGACCTACGTAAGCTAGCTGGCAGGAGGGATGCCTGGAACACAGCAGTTCCACTTAAGAAGGAGTAGAACTTCAATACTTTCTTGTGGTGCACTCATTTTTATCAGCTGAACCTTTAAGGCTGGTCCAGCTTTCGTGATGCCAGATGTGTTTCTGCTTATCTAATTGCAGGCTGAGTGCCTGTGCTGCAGTGAGCGATGCCCAGTATATCAGTCCCAAAGGCTTTTTCCCCTTCTTTTAAGGTGTCCAATCTGCACAGCATTGCCCAGAGACAATTATCCCATGCAGATTTGGCCATGGGAAGCTATGTGCAACTGCGCCAAGCAAGGGATTAAAATAGGAAAGAAGTACTCTTCTGGGCAGCCTGGTCTGGTGGTTGGTGACCCTGCACATAGCAGGGGGGTTGAAACTCGATGATCATTGTGGTTCTTTTCAACCCAGGCCATTCTATGAAATATTCTACTGAACGCAGAAATAAACATGGCCCACTGCGCTTCTTGGAGTCTTTAAAACCTTGAAGAAGAATGACTGAGCCCTGTCTTTATACACAGGACTGTGTTCTCCAGCCTATATGGGGACAAATCTCCCTTGATTTGGCACAAAGATCACAAAGTCCAGGGGGATGGTGGGTTCAGCTCCGCGGAAATTAATTATCCAGGTCACTGTGTGGCAGGTATCAGTGTCACACTCCACAAATGGTCCAACTTACGACACACTACTCATTTTCTGCCTGTGTAGCCAAGCTTTATCACAGCCATAAAAGCCTGACTTATTTACCAAAACTGTGATTTCAGAGAATTAGTTTTGCTTTCATAGAACTGATTTGAGGCAGAAGGAAAACATCTTTTACTAGCAATGAAAGACAGTAAGCCTGTATCTGGGAATGGAAACCCAAATCTCATTATAAATCAGGGTATGTCAGATATAAGCCACGACAACGTGGTGCCCTGGGACACCCAATAGTTTGGACACTGGGCCCAGGCTGCCCAGCAGTGCTGACCACACTCTGAGTCTGTTTGCAGCACATGGCTCTGTTGAACATCATTCCACGTCCACACTGCACACTTATGATGGACTCAAGAAGCCCACTCATACCTCTACAAACTCATACCTCTGTCCTAAAGGTCATGGAACAGCTTTTAGGAGTTTGCCACTGTACATCACTGTACAGCACAGGGTTCCCACGAGGTCAAACCCCAAACCAAGTTAACGTGAAGATGTTCCTATGATGAGGTTGAGCCCAGCACCGCCGCTGGGCACTTCCATTATACAGACATTTGTCAGAAGTATTCAATTAACTCTGGCTACAAATCCAAAATAGCTGGATTACATGATATTAGGAAGTTCATATTTCATCACATGCTTACAACATTCCTGAAGGCTATATGCATTTAAAATTCAATATCATACCAAGGGGCTGCAAAACATTTCTTTCCTTTTCTTTGCCTTTCATTTCTCTTACTGTAGATACTGCAATCTGAGCTAAGCTGCTGGGATAGTGACAGCTGTGTGCATTTATCAAATAGGAGCTGCAGCCATTCCGAAAAAGATAATAGAAATAGAATGTATTCACACAGAGAACAGATACATTGTTCATTAGGAGCAGTAATAGAGATCTCTAGCAATAATGATACTACACTCTAGACGTACTTCCATCTTACAAACCATGGAGACATTTCTGGTAGGATGCTCTCTGGTTACTCCAGAATATTTAATATAAGGTTTAACAAAAGAAGCAAACAAACAAGAAAACGCATGTGCTGAACCAACCAGCCCATTCCTTCAGTTTTCCAACTTACCTCATCAATGTGTCCAACAGCCCCAAAGATCTTCGCTGTTTGCCCAATCAAATGTGGGAAAATCTCTCCAATTTCTTTTAGCTCTGGAAGAAATGCAGCCAAGGCTGTTGGGTCATAGCCAGACACTTCTGTCAGTATGTTTAGGATAATGTCACTGTGGTTGGGATCTCTCACAAGCCCCAGTAGACACAGAATACATTCGTTCAGCACCTATTAAAAAAAAAAAGAAAGAGAAAAAAAAAAAAGAAAGCAGTGGATGTATTTGTGAATGGTGAATATATACAACCAAAAGAGATGCTGTAGGTTGGAGGGCTAGAAACAGACCATCAGACTTTGATTCAGTGGAATAGCTTTTCACCCTCACTGACCTCTGCACATAGCTATTTGCTGAGGTCAACAGAAGTTCAGCTCAACATATGGAAGAAGGGTAAGCTGTAGCCTTGAAATATTACAGTTATGCATATATAAGTAAGAAAATGCTCCATTGTTAAGAAAAAAAAGGCCAAAAAAAACCCTCAACCCCCTTACCAAACATTTCCCTTGCTTTAGGTTCTATGCTTAAAGGATTAAAACAGCATAGGTCTTAGTCATCCCTAACAATACAGTAAATTAAAGTAATGGTAAAAAAATATTTTGTGTCCTCCAGGAACTAAACAACATGACAAGGTTAATAGTGGGCACAGAGCTAAAAATAAGGGCTAGCTCCTTGCTGCACAGAAAATGCTGCAGGCAAGCTGGCATTCCTTATAACAACACAATTTTCAAGAGGCCGAGGGTTTAGACCTTCAAACATCTCACAAGCAGGACGGAGCACGTTCAGCTTCCTACTAAAGGATTCTTTCACATCTGGACTGCTCAATGTCTACATGTGTACTAACACACCTCTGGGTCAGGGAAACCGAGGGATGCGCATAAATGCGTTTCAGAACAGACTGGTGAGACCTTCCACCAACTTCCCATGGCATGGAATGGGGTTCCATACACTCCCTTGTGCATCTCTTGGCTCAGACACCAACGTCCCAGTGGGACAGCAGCACCAGTGTCCCCAGCCAGGACACACCAGTGGTGACCTCAGACAGGCTGGCTCCAGCAGAGCCCCTCCATGGCCACATGGGGCTCTTTGGTCTCTTGTTTCCAAAGGCAGCTCTATTTCATCTGTGACAGCACATTATGATAAAGCTTCCCCAGCTATTTGGAGGAAGGTATTAACCACTGCTGATTCTTCTTTTAGGAAGGTTTTATAGATTTAATAAATTTGCAAATCTTTGTCTTAATTCAAATGAGCTGGGTGCTGTTAACCTTGTGCCATTTTGAGAGCGTGATGCATAGTGCCTTAAATAATCTCCAGCTCACTCTTAATCGGTTCCTAACTTATTCTAGCTTTCCTTGATATGTCTGTACAGTTCTAATAGAGGCGTAATGATGGGAACTGCAACTCAACTGACAGAGGAAGAGCCAAAAAAGTAGAACGCAGTCCTGGTTTATAACAACAATGACTGCTGGACCACAACGTTTATGTTCTCTTTATGACCGGATGGAGATTTTGGAGTGGAATTAAAGAATGGAATTAACGAAACTCTATGGCAAACCACAGGAAATCTCTGTTGTGTACGGCGTGGGACTCCAACTGAGACAGCCACCAGCAGTCAGACCTCACCAAGCCGTCTGAAAGAGATAAACACCCCAAAAGGAGGTGCAACACCGAGCACCTCATCCACACACAGCCTTACCCTGAGCTCTTTCCTCCGTGCCATGAGCTGGAGCAGCTGCAGGAGGTGCTGCTGCTCGGACGGCTGCAGGTGGCCCATCAGTGCCAGAAGCTCGGGCAGGCGGTGCGCCATCGGCTGCGGCTGCTTCTCATATAGTGCAGGCAGGACACGCAGCAGCAGTGAGTTCCCTGCCAACAGAGCAGAGGAAAGCATGGTGCATTACTGCACAGCAGTGCTGCGTGGCTGAGGAGCAGCCTGGACCACCTGCATCCACCTGGAAGCAGCAGGACCAGTCATCTGCATAAACTGGGCAGTGTGGAATACACTGGAGGAATCATAGAATGGGTTGAAAAGGAGCACAATGATCATCTCGTTCCAACCCCCTGCTGTGTGCAGGTCGCCAACCAGCAGACCAGGCTGCCCAGAGCCACATCCAGCCTGGCCTTGCATGCCTCCAGGGATGGGGCATCCACAACCTGCTTGGGCAACCTGTTCCAGTGCCTCACCGTCCTCTGAGTTTCTGAGGAAATTGTGGACTTGGGCCAAGGAGCCCAGTACATGGCCCAAATAGAGCAAATCACAGCAGGTATAACAATGTATGCATATAGATTTATTTCCTATTCATTATGATTTTCATTCCCAACACAATACCAGGAGAGGGTTGCTTACAAACTTTCAGATTTGGATCATACTCCGTTGAGTCCTACACTCAACACTTGTGATTTAAATGGATTAAAAAAAAAAAGAAAGAGGCTAGAAAGCACATAAAAACTGTATTTCTCCTTCTCTGAGATTCAGACTTTCAAATTAAATAAGCAGCATATGGAAAGAATAATTGGTTATTAAAAGAGCTAAATGTGCATGACAGTAAATTTAAACATAAATAGTTAAGGATGCCATTTCCAGGAATAGAAAGGAGCCAGAGAAAGTCAACTGCAGACAGACTCAGATATGCAAAACCCTCTCTCACACATTTTCTTAAGATGTCTGCGCATAATTCAGTTTGAAGCCCAGGCTCATACCAAAATATATAACTTCACATCGCTGTACATGCCTGCTTCAAATATATTTAAGTCTCACTTGAACAACATATGGAAAACATCTGCCTATTGCAATGTAGTATGGCTTCTTTTTGTACATGCTTGCAAGTCCTTAAGGTCTCCTTGAATTTGGTTTCCAATAGGAACTAGCACTCTGGCCTGCTGCTTTTTCTCCCACTTAAACCCAAGCCCTGTAATTTTGCAAGAGCAGCAGCTCAGTTCCCAGGTGGCAGAAGGAGGACCTGTGTGTCAGACCTGACCACACCACGCTCGTGCCAGATACATGAAGAGCAACCCAAGCCTTGTAACACCACCTCTGAGCCAAGTAACTGAAATGCAATTCATTGCAGGCTCCAAAAGCATCCGGCTGGAGCCCTTCAGAGTACCTCAGCCCTGGGAGTGCTTCTGCACTGCTCAGCCACTCTCTGCATCTGACCCCAAAGCACTTGTTCTGCTCCTAGAGCCGCTGGCTTCTCCCAGAACTCTGCACACAACACCACAGGGCTAACAGCAAGCTTTGTCCCCAGGGCCATGGGCAATTCCTGGCCTGTTCCATGAATGGAGCACAAAGCCAGCTGCAAATGAAGGAGATTTGCTGATGGTTACCCCAGGCAGGTCAGTAGCAGCTCAGTCCTGGCTGCCCTACCCACACCTCCCCAATGCTACAAGTGGGACTGCACAATAATTAAGGGGCACGAGCACCACTGTTTTACCATGGGATCAACACTCCCATGTCACAGAGGTTCTTTTCAAAGTGACTTTTTAATTTGTATATTCAGCAAAGATTTGGTCTTTTTTTTTTTTTTTTAACTAACCAGAAAAAGTAACCCAAACTAACCAAAAGCAACCAAATTAACCAGCAGTAACCAGCAAAGCACCAATTTGCCCAAAGTTAAGGGCAAATTTGGTTTTCCATTAAGGTTTTCTAGTTTCTCATCTGAGTCTGAAATTGAACAATTTTATAATCAAATATACTGAAAATTATTTCCTTCTCTGGATAAAGTTGTGTTTGCAGAATTAAGCCTTTTTGGCACTTGCACGTGCTTAGCTTCCACTGGAGGTTTTCTGTCCATGTAGAACAGATGCCTTAAGCTCCAGCCACATCTCAGCAAAATATGAAATTCCCTCTGCCCTGGACAAGCAAAGTTCTCAACTGTAAGAGCATGGAGGGAAATTCTACAGAGACAAGAAGTAGCATCTGAGATGTGCTATTGCCTGTGCTGGGACATCATGGATAGGAAGACACCTGGAAACTCAGACTATTCAATTTGAGAAAAGCACCAATTTAACTATCGGCTGCATCAGAGGGGGGACATAACTCAGCATGACACAACGTGCTGGATTGCGACCACTTGTACAAAAATACTTGGTACAAAAGTAAATTGGGCATCTTGTCCAGTCACCGTACAACAAACGTTACTGGGTTTGCAGTCACAAAGCAGGGTGAACAAAAGGCAAGGGCAGACTGCAGGCAACCCCACTGCATTGGAGCAGTATTTCAGTGACCTCAATGACATGGAATTCTTTTTAATTGAATAACCTGTATATACAAACCTGTAAACAACCCAAGCAGAAGCCACAGTTTGTGTCTGTTCTTTGTAGAACTCCAGAAGGGTCACAAAGCACAACTCCATCCCCCACATTTTCACATCTGTGTGTTTCCTGTCAGCTCCCAGCACACCCCAACAGCTGCCACCCCTTCCCAGCTTCCATGTGATTCACCCACACGCAGCCACCACCAACTTTCTGCCTGCTCAGAGCTTGGAGGTGACACCCTGCCCATTCCCAAGCAGCTCAGCCTAAATGAAGAGCCTGAAACGTACATTTGCTGTCTGAGAATGGAAAAATGCGATACTCAACTCCTTAATCACCTTCTCTCCCTCTTCCTCCCCTGCCACCATTATCCCCAATGCTTTCCAGATCAGAGGTTTTCAGGCGTTCCAGGCAGACCACACACTGGGAATTATGCAATTTCAGCACAAAGCAATGTACAGTTGGGGACATCCGATGGCTGAGCGCTGCTGGCTGCAAGTCAGATGGGGCAGAGGCACCAAACAGCAAAACACAGCCCTGCAGCCCGGGGCCACAGTGCATGCTCACAGCCAATGTACCTGCATGTACAAAGAGCCACAAAGGTTGGATATTAGGAAAGACTTCTGCCCAGGGGGTGGTGGGATCACGTTCCTGGAGGTGTTCAGAACTGTGGGGATGTGGCATGAGGGATGTGGGCAGTGGTGGGGTGTGCTGGGGTTGGACTTGGATCTCAGAGGTCTTTTCCAACCATGATGATTCTATGAAAGGCTCTGTGTGCTGCCTCTGCTCTGCCCCATCCGTGGCCTAGCCCAGCAGCACAGAGCTTGTAAGAGAATGAGTCCCATAGCACTCTGCATGTTGTGGGCAGAGCAGTACAGCAGAACTTAGTCATAGAATCATAGAATTGCTTGGGTTGGAAGGGACTTCAAAGATCATTTAGTTCCAGCCTTCCAAACTCAAGGGACAATTGCTGAGGCCACATGCACCTCTGCTAACCCTCCCACAGACACTTGTCCCACTCCCATGCTATTGGCTGCGGTGCTGGAGCAGGGTTAGCAAACACCAAGGGAAGCACCGGCCCCTCCTGCAGAGTTTAACCAGAAAGAGAACACAGATTGCAAATGAGATGCAGTTCTGTTTGCTTTTGTATCCTATTCTCTGAATATTTTGTGGCCAATATATAATTCGTACCATCAGAGTGTTACCCTTAATCTCAATTCTGGAATAACCCAAGGCTCATTAAACTGATAAACTCTCCAGCACTTAAAAGCAATCAGCACCAATGACAGTAGGACTTGGCACCAGATTAACACCTAACCCAAGAGTCTCTCATTTTGTTTTTCTCCAGTGTTAACGGCCACAATTCTAATCCTGCAGCTGCTAACCTGTAGGCTCCCGAAGGAAGAAACTAGATGGCACACGTTACCTGCATGGATACAAAGTTGCTATTGCTAATTTGGGCTAGAAAAGTAAAAAACCAACAAGCTGTCTGTATTTTACAAGTTCTCCTTTGTTGCTCAAACTACTAGCACAGCAGAAGTTTCTAAAGAAAACAGCCCCCAAAGCCACAGTATTTAGGTTACACCAGACGAACGCACCCAAACCAGCTCCAAGTAGCTGTGTTTTCCTGCCAGCCCCTTCCGTAACCATAGCACATACCAGCTGCCAATGGAGTCTGCACAAAGAACACAGAACAGCCCAAGTGATGCAGCTCAGGCAGCAGTCCCTCTCCCAGCTCCCACCCAATGCTGTGCATTTCTGGCACTCTGCTCCAGGGGAAGCAGCAGCGTGCGGAGCAGCTCTCCCCATCCTACCCCCCCTCCCACTCCAGGCAGACCTGGGGGCTGACATTAAGCAAGCTGCACGCCCCCTGCTCCTCACTGCCAAAACCAACAACCAGAAGTGCTCCTATTACAGCGCTGGCACTCGCAGCGCTCATTCATTCAAGCTGAGACACTCCGAGCATTTATTAGGGGCTGCCCGTGGCTCCTCGCAGTCCCTGCTGCAGTCCCACTCCAGTCCAGCCTCAGCCCGGCTATTTGCAGGAAGCAGCTGCAGAATGCTGCCTGGAGGAGTGCTTTCTCTGCTCACGCTGTTCTGTGTTTTCAGGGCTTCTGCTTCTGTACTGGATGAAGACGACGACTACGATCTCATGTATGTGAATCTGGATAACGAAATCGAAGGTCCGGTTCTGGGCACTGAGGAATGTAAGTAGATACCATCTACATTTCTGGTAAGCGCAGCGCTGCATTCTTTGTTGCTTAGCTCTTGTAACAACCACAAGCATTATTTTAAGAGGAACCATGTGCTTGTAGCAGTAGGTTATTGCAGACGGCAGTGCTGGGTACTGGGATGGCGTGCTGCAGTTTGCTGTGCACTATTTTCCTGCAACGGATGGCAGATGCCACTTGGTTTTAGGATTGCTGTACTGAGCACTGCTTTGCCTTCTGTTTTGATACAGACATAAATGCAGGGGCAGGCTGAAGCCTTGCACAGAGGCAGATTTCGGGAAACACCCCTTCTGTTTAAACCTACATCCATGTCTTGCCTTGCAGCTGCCTCGTGTGACTGCCAGCGGGAGCACACGGAGTGGGACAAGCTCTTCATCATGCTGG